GATGTGGAACAAGACAATCTATCACAAGCGTCCATGCCTTTCGCGACCATGCCCAAGACACTGGTATCTACAGCAACGCCCTAAGTTTCAAGGCAGTAAGATCCTACCTAGTCACTTCAATAAACATAAATGCAAATTACTCAAATTTGCTGGCAGGTGTGGGTTTAAGGCACATTGGACTAATATGCTGCTTGGGAAAAACCACGCGGCCATTTACCAACGTGTGACCACTTAGCTACTCAAAGCTCTTGCGAGCTTCCGGGCAGCCCAGTGCATCTTGTTTTTCTTCTCTCTCCTCCAGGCCCCCCGCCCTCCTCTTCTCATGAATTCGGTGCCACGCCAAATTCCGACGAAACACGAGAGCCTTCCCCAGAAGCGCCTTCTACAGCTGACAGCGTGACCCCCAAACGGCCCCCTAGCGTTGCGTGTTCGACTCAGAAAGCTTTGCCGCCACGTGGTCGAGGCAATGGCTTCCGGCTTGCCGACAATTGGCACTGGCTGGGGTCCCTTCCCTAACCAGGGACGAGTCATGAACAGATATGAGGGGCTTCTTGGCTTCCTGCAGCTTCCTTGGATCTTCGAGAGGTCTTAGTCTCAGGGTGCGTCCGGAACAGCTCCGGCAAAGAGCCCAGAGGATTTTTCGCTTCTTTTCGGAAGTTGTTTCTGTCGTCGGCAGGGGGGATCTCCTGATTCTGCGATGTCTGTACACTTCTAATTGCTGGACCGCGATATCTAAGCTTTTCGGAAAGGCTCGGCTTCGGAGGGGGCTTGAACTTAGGGTTTAGGGTTTACGCCCAGTTTAGGCTTTAGGGGCCGCTTCATGTAGGGGCCTCTCCATCTTGGTCCCGTGAGAGTGGCTGTCAAGTCTCCGGCGTTAGGCGTTAAGGGCACAGCCACTTTCATAGGTGGGCAGACGGACTTCATGAATGACCAGAACTCGTGGCCAATAGGCGCTTGCTCATTCAATCGGGAGTTTCCGGATGCTTCCTTGCACAGACGCGCTACGTGCCTCATTGGAATTTCATTGCCAGGGCCAAGGTGAATTTGCCAAAGTCCAGCTTGTAAAGCTGTGGTGCTGTTCAGTTGTTTCACTGCGTTTCTTGACAACTACAGCGGTAAGCACTGTGAGTGGGTTCGTGGCGAGGGTTGGACTGATGGACCGTGAGCATGTAAAAGACATAGCACTTCGAAGGCTGAGTCTTCGCGTGTGGCCAGGGTTCAAGGTATCTCTACTAGTCCGCCCGGTTCACACAAGCTCCTAGCCATGGGTCTCGCATTCACGAAGATATGGCAGCGAATGATCGGAAAGCAGGAGATGCGGATTTTGATGGTTGGCTTAGACGCAGCCGGTAAGACCACCATTCTCTACAAGCTGAAGTTAGGCGAGGTTGTCACCACCATCCCTACGATCGGCTTCAATGTGGAGACAGTGGAGTACAAGAACTTGTCATTCACAGTGTGGGACGTTGGTGGCCAGGACAAGATTCGCCCCCTGTGGCGCCACTATTACCAAGGGACGAATGGCTTGATCTACGTGGTTGACAGCAACGACCGGGATCGCATTGAAGACGCCCGCGAGGAGCTCAACAAAATGTTGAATGAAGACGAGATGCGTGACGCAGTGCTCCTGGTCTTTGCAAACAAGCAGGACCTGCCGAATGCCATGACCGCAGCAGAAGTCACCGAGAAGCTCGGTCTGCACAACCTGCGACATCGCCAGTGGTTCATTCAGTCCGCCTGCGCTACCACGGGAGACGGCTTGTACGAGGGTCTCGACTGGCTCTCGAGGACGCTGTCCTCAAAGCGCTAGGCCAGAGTGGAGGGAAGCCCTGGGGCGTATCATTGTGTAGTGTGGTATGCCGCTAAGAGCTTCCGGAATCTGAGCTGCACAAGTGCATCATTGTGTAGTGTGGTGTGCCGCAGTGCCCTCGGGGGACCATTGGCCAATGGCTGCCGGATATTTTCCTCTCGGCGCAACGCAGCTGTGAAAAGAAGAGATCGCCGATGCGTGTGGAGCGGAAACTTGCGACGTAAATCAGGGCATTTTTCCGAAATGTCCTTGAGCCAGGTAGAAAGTCCTGGTAGAGGCTTGTGAAACCTCTGGAAACCTTGAAACCGCAACCCCAAACCCATGCACCGTACCCCGTAAGAAACTCTACACACCTCAGCCACCGTGCGAACCCACCTCGCCCTGCATTGTCCGTGTTGCGAGACTCCAAACACCTCAGCCACTTGAAGGTTCGTGGGAAGTTATAAGTTGAGTCATAAGTTATAAGTAAGGTAACTATAGTTATAACCCATATTAGGGGGCTTATAACCCAACTTACTTGGAGGTTCATGGGTAGTTATAAGTCCCCTAATATGGGTTATAATTACAGTTACCCTACTTATAACCACTTATAACTACCTATGAACCTAAACCCTAAACCCTAAACCCTAAACCCAAGCAGAGCCTCAAAATCTCCGCCAGACTACGAGCTGGTCGACTCTCCGACGCCGCCGATGAGGTGGGCCGAGCCCAAGGCAGAGGAGCTCCGAAAGGCCCGGGAAAAGGAAGGTAGGTTGTACTACTTATGCTATACCATGCCAGTTTCGACGATCCAAATTAGACTATACTACACTATCATATTATATATATATATCATATAGTATATTTAGAGTTTTCGGGTTGAGGGCTGCAGGTTGAGACTGGCGGTGTAGAGGGTTGAGAGGGTTCTTTAGAGCTCTACATTGCTACAGATCCCTAAGGTGCCACCGTAGTGCCCTTCATGCAGCCCGAGTAAGCTCTAAGGGTGTAGCAAATAGGGCGCCGCGCTGGGTGTGAAGGGTTGAGGCTGAGGGTTCAGTGTTTAGGGCTTACGGCTGCCCGTTTGATCGTGATCGTAAGCGTATTCGTAGCAGTAATGGTAGTCGTAATCCTAGTAGTACGAGTAAGAGTTTGTCCCGGCGCCACGGCAGCAATCACTGCCGCCTTGCTTTTCATTGAATCAAGATGTAACAAGTTTATCAGTCCTGGTTCTGCTTACCAGCTTCAGCTCATCATCGTCCTTCTGATGACTCATGCGAGCAAGTCCTTTGACGTGCTTTTGCCTCTGCCCAGGCGATGCTCGAGGTCGTGGCAGGTGGCTCTGAGGTCGAGGATCGCACCGCCCGCGCCTGCCAGGAGGCTCCGCTTCCAGCGCCGGCGGTGTAGTCGCGTCTTGTTTGGCTTTCGGCTTTCATTTTTGCTGTCTCGATCGGGAGTGCGTCTCGGATTTGAGCCAAGAAGTGCCATTACCACTTAGCCAGCAGCCGATATGTTGTCGTTCCTGCTTTCTTCCATATTGCTAGTAACTTGGCGTAAACCCAGCGCAGGTGCACGATCACTACACCATCGACTTGCTGGCCGCGGAAGCGATAAAACTCTTCGAGACGACGGCTCAGCTGGATGTGGCCGCTCTTTGTTGGCTTTTCGATTGATTGCAAGGTTTGGAGATCCGATATGCCATAGGGGCCTATGGTGCTGCAAAGCCCAGCAGCCTGCAGACTTGTCTTGGTCAACCCTGGGTGCGCTGGATGTGGGAACGGTTGCAGGCTCGAGGTTCATGGTCTCCCAGACGAAAGTTAAAATCAACTATTGGAAATACCAGGACCAGGGCACCAAAATGTTTCAGGCAGGATAACGACAGAGATAGCAACGACTTCAGCAACAGCGCAACAACGACAGAAATAGCTACAGCCATGACATGCCAAGACCAGCGAACGGCCGCCAAACAGATGTCAGATATCCGGCCGATTCGGTGGCATCGTGTTCGAGTCAGTCTGAGTAAGTGACCTTTTTTGACAGAAGCCTGCGTACATGTATCGGCAAGCTGGACTGGTCTGGCCAATTTGCTAGGAAGGGCCAAGGGCAGTCCTGTGCCATCTGTGCATGGATGATGATGAATTCCTGCGGAAGCTCCCCGTGTCCCAGCTTGTCGGGCTACGAAGCCGGAAGCACCCTAAACCCTAAACCCTAAACCCTAAACCCTAAACCCTAAACCCTGGCCAGCCTCAGGTCCTTGATACCGGGCGTGGCCGAAGGCCTGCGCCCTCCGCCTTTTTCGGGGGAGGTCTGATGAGATTTTTTAAGGGGGTTCCCAGGTGGGATTTAGGATTTAGGTCAAGTTTAGAGGAACGGAGTTGAGGGCTTAGGATGTCCTCTGGCAGTGCGGGATGATGCGCAGGTGATCATGATGAATGGTCGCAGTCACGCCGATCATGTTGTTGATGGTGCTGCTGTTGTTGATGACGATTGCTGTTTCGATGGCTTTGAATCTGGTTCGGTTACATGTACTATACTAGTATCGAGCTCAGCGTTGCGGTCCTTTTGGTCGTCATTGCCCCTACCTGCCACCGCTCCCGTGGCGATGACGACGTCATGTGCCGCCGATGTGCGACTAGGCTTACCAGTTGTGAAATACGCATCGATGAGCGTCCACACTCGGGAAACCGCTGCATGTACACGCTCGATGCCATTGCCCATGTAGACGCTAGATTCAACAAGCCGCTCGAGACGCACATCAGTGGCAGCCAGACGCTCGATTCCACAAGCACCCACTCGAGACGAACATCAGTGGCAGCACACCACATCCAACGCAGCCATTTCCCATCTAGACGCTCGATTTCACAAGCGCCCACTCCAGACGAACATCAGTGGCATGACAGCACATCAAAACCAGCCATTCCCCATCTAGGCGCTCAATTCCACGTGGAACCATCGGATCGTTCACAAATAGAAGTGGGTGTTTGGGTGCTTGTGGAATTGAGCGCCACGTGGGGAAGAATGGCCTTTTTTTGATATGTTGTGATGCCATGTGTGAGATAGAATAGCCTCCCAAACTAGTACGGCTTGCAATCCGATGTTGGGGCTTCTCCGGTTTAGTCATGGCCTTTGTGAGCATTAGGGTCTCTAGTGTCTCAAGAAGGAGATTTAGGACCTTGATGTGGGGGATTGTATGGCTCTTTTCCTGCAGCTGCTTAGCCGGCTTGGCCACAGTAGATCGGCTCAGCCGCAGTGAGCGGGAGCTTTCACCACAAGAGGCCGGAATCTGTGATGCATGGTTTAGGGCCTAGGGCCGAAGGCTTGGGATGTTCGGACATTGTGAAACCTGGGTCTTCACAGGAAGCCGTAGAACTTGGGTGTATGGTTTAGGGCCATCATAGGGGGAACGGCCTCCATCACAGGCAGGCTTGAAAGCAGCAGAAAGAATTCCGAGGAGTCGAGAATAGCGATACTTTCCAGCCAGCAAGGACATTTTAGCGGCTAAAAGCCGTGAACCCTCTTCCTCTGGTGCTTGGTCTTAGGTCTGCGCCGAGGGCTGGGTGTGGGTTTCGACGCGATTGGGCCTGAGGCTTTAGAGGGGACACAGGCGGAATGGCTAAATGCCGAAAACCGGCCCTGACTAAGAAACCCCAGTTTACTACCCGAAGCAAGAGGATCCTCAGGGCCTCAGTCACAACCAAGGGCTCCTCGAGCCTGAAGCCCGTAAGCCGCACGTCCCAAAGTGTGACACTCTACTTGGAGGTTCATGGGTAGTCATAAGTGGGGTTATAAGTAAGGTAAGTGTACTTATAACCCAAATTAGGAGACTTATATCTCCACTTATAACTACCCATGAACCTCCAAGTAAGCGCCTGAAAGGCTCATGGAGTGCTTCAACGGCCTCTTCGCGAAGCGGCCAAAGCTCGTTCAGCTGCCTGTGACTCCGGGCAAGGCCAGGCCGCGCATCCCGTAGAGCAGAGCGTCCGAGGGTGTAGGGTGTAGGGGGTGCTTTGAGGGTGAGTGTGGCCACGAGTGGTGCTCTTAAGACAGGCTTGACATGTTGAATGATTGGGAAAGAGACACAGAGAGAGAGAGAGAGAGAGTTTTTGCTTCATGTTTTCAGGGTGTGAGTTTTTTTTAGGATTTTATTCGGGCTTCGTAGCCAGAGAGCTTAATTTAAACTGGGCGTAGGCATGCCAAGTCTCAAAGACAATCATGGAAGCAACTTTCTTTAGGAGTTCGGGGTTTTGGGTTCCATGTAATATCCTATACTATTTTAGGGCTTCCTTGATATATTTGTATATAGCATCATATACCCCAAAACCCCATTCCAAATATGAAGGCCCCTACATTAGAGCCCCGTCCCGGGATTCAGGTTTGCTTGATAATTCGATTTCGGTTGTGGGCCGATGCCATGCTTCAGGAGAGCGGTTCTGCAAGGCGTAGGAGATTGTTGTGGAACCCTAAACTCGAAACTCCTAAGCCGTAAACTCCCACTCTCTAAACCCTAAACGCCTTTAAGCCCTGGAATGCTAAGAAAAGAGCTGGGGTTCAAGTTAACGCACTCCTCGGATGCCTCGGCGGTCTTCGGGGGGTTTCAATAAGTTGTCCTGAACAAAACTCAACTGGTCCCGCTCACCGAAGTCTTGCTGTGTTCACCCCTGAACCCTATGCGGGTGGCTTTGTGTTGTTGTTTTGGGGAATCCACGTCAGGGCCGCGATCCTTGATACTGATTGTGGTTGGGGTTTCCTAATGTTTGCAATGATTGAGATGACCATCTATTTTTTCCTTCCCCACACAGACCCAATTACGTAGTTCATGCACCCTAAACCCTTATTAAATCACCCTGGAAGATGCTAATGAAAACTGCAAGGTGCCCATCTTTGTCATGCTGCAGCTAGATTGGCTTTCCGACGACGGCCAGGCGCTGCGGTACAAGGACTCCTCCGGGGTGTTTTTTTTTTGAGGGTTGCCGTTCTAGGGTCTCTATGTAGCATGGCTTGTGCTGGGTCGGGTCTATGTTGGGTCCCTATTTCCTGAATTTCCCAATTTCTACCGCAACGAGTTTGGAAATGCCACGTCCGGCACGGAGTCCCTACTCGGTGATTCATTAATGAACCTATACACACCATCGCAATCTCGCATCTCCCTATCTCTCTCTCTCTGTCTCTTGTTCTCTGTACACATGTCTCTGTCTCTCCATCTCTGTCTTTGTCTCTTTCTTTCTTCTTTCTTTCTTTGTCTCCTTCTTTCTTGCTCGCTCTCTCTCTGTCTCTCCCTCTTTCTGTCATTCTCTCTCTCTCTCTTTCCATTTCTCTCGCATGCTCACACATACAGCACGCTCACATTCATACTGCGGTATGTATGTTTCATACGCACACTCACAGAGAGAGAGCACAGAATATGTAATGCGGAGAAAGGAGAAGGCCGAGACAGACAAAGAGACCTTGGTGTGTGCATGTTTGTGTACGAATATGTATATGTAGATGAACATGTGCATGTAAATGTAGATCTTCATTTGTATATGCATGCATACATACATACATACATACATACATACATACATACATACATACACACAAACATAACTACGTGCATGTAGGTACGTGGCTATGTAGGTATAGGTAGGTCATGTTTGTATGTATGTGCCTGCGTAAATAAGTGTGTATGTATGGATGCATGCATGCATGTAGGCGCGTGTGTACAGACAGCTGGATGGCTGGCTGCTTTGGCTGGCTGGCTGGCTGCGTTGAAGGATGGATCACAGAAACCCTAAACTGCCTAAACCCTACCCTAAACCCTAAACCCTAAACCCTAAACCCTAAACCCTAAACCCTGAAGCCGGAAGCCGCCCAAACCAGGAGGATCTCAAGCGCCAGTTGACGGCCGCCAAGACGGCCGGGATCAAGGGCGTGATGGCCTGAACCTCAGGAACCTGTCCGATGGCTCGGTATGTCGGATACCGAAAGGAGCGCTTTCGCTTTCGGGGCACCGCAGGAGCCTCAACTATCCTCAACTCGAAGACGCCCATGAAATTCGCAGATAAAGCGTTATCCTGTAACTCAGGGTTCAGAAGTTCCAGCCCGAGACGTTTTGGAGGGAGGGTTTCGGGGCATTCGAGGCACAGAGAGTTGAAGGGATGAAATCTGCCGAGACCAAGACGGGAATGTCGCAGCCGGGCGACGCTCTTTTCATATCTAGGCGCCTGCAAGCAGCCGGTGTGGAATGGCAGCAAAAAGAAAGACAGCATCTCCTGTATCGTCTAGACCGGGATCCCAAGAAGTCGCGGCCCAGGCCGACGTGTGGTGGGGCCTTTGCCACCGGCTTGCATTTATTGTGTGCTGAGGGGTTCAAGCTAGTGGTATAGTCGTAGTCGGCGTCAAGGAAGTAGCAATGGCTAGTTTCATGAGAAGCAGAAGAAGCCGAAGAAGCCACCGAAACAGTGGCAGCAAGGCTTGCGCTAGCAGCACCCGTCGGAGTTCTCGTCCTATGATCTCCGCAGTACCGGTACTGGCACCTTGTGGTTGTCCTGATCGCGGTCGTCCCTTCGTCGTCGTCGCCGCGGGAATGCCTATCTTTTGCCAGACCAAGGTGAGCCAAAGCCAGAGGAGACTGGGAAAGAGTGGCTGTGTGGGACCAGTCAACTAGTCGTCGCTGAGACTGCGCACTGTGTGGAGTGAATGCTCAGGATTGTCACATTCCTCCGGTGTTGATCTTGTACAGAACGTCTCCTTCTGCAGAGGAGTGGCCCCAAAGCACGAAACCCTCAAACCGGAAAGCTTCAAGCGAGAACCCTTCGACCGAGAAAGTCGCCCGCCTTGGATCGTCGCACAAGGGAGAACATGAAACCGACGGCACCGAGGTTTCGGCATTGCAACAAAGTGAGACTTAAATGCTATAACATGTTATATAACATTGTACATGTTTCTTATGCCACGTACTTCATTATACCCCCTGATATAACATAAGATCTTGCAGGACTACCACTTCGGCGGTGCCCTGGAGCTCTGCAATCTTTTGAAGTCCCTGGGGCTGGAGCTCCAGGCGAAGGGCCCCCCACCAAATCATGCCTTTCGGGTTTGGGTGTGCGGTTCAGGGTTTAGGGTTTAGGGTTTAGGGTTTAGGGTTTGGGACGAAGGGTTAAGGGTTTTTTACGGTTTAGGGGCTTTGGAGTTTTGGATTTGGGTCGTTTTGCTTCAAGACTTGAGTTCCGAGTTTGCACTTTCATCAAGCACCCAACTTCAAGCCCCGCTCCTGACATCCTAGAAACTGCATCTTGCCGAACCAGTGTCCAAACGCTATAAAACCACACAAGCCACAAGCCACAATTTCACTTTCGAACCCCCTCCAAACCGTCATAAGACCCCATCACACCTTTCCCGAACCATTTCCCAACCCCTATAAAACTCCAACGCCCCCAATTACGCACCTTGCCCTCCAATTGATTGCAAGTCTGCTGTCCACTAAGCAAGCCTCGCTTATGTGCATCGTACTCAAACATGCGAGAGGGAAGACACACACCAAAATCCTAAGCCTACCTCGCCTAGGCAAGTCCGAGTGTGAGTGCTGAAACTCATGTGGGTAGTTGTCAAAATTATGCTCCCTTTTCGGACCCCCAAAAGGGACCATCATTTTGAAACCCTAAACCCTAAACCGCGGGAAAAAAAACCCTAAACCCTAAACCCGAAACCACCCATGTCCCAAAGGCAGTGATGTCCTTCCACCAGTGCGGTGGCAACGTGGGCGACTCCGTCAGCTTCCCTCTTCCGGCCCTCCCAGGGATGAGGGCAAGGGTTTAGGGTTTAGGATTTAGGGTTTAGGGTTTAGGGTTCAGGCGATTGCACAAGTCCTGATGCAAAAAAGGGTTTAGGGTTTAGCGTTCATCAAGTCCAGATGTAAAAAAAGGGTTTAGGGTTATATATGGGGGGGTTTCAGGGCTCAGGGTTTCTTATAGGGTTGGTAGAAAAGCTCTTTAAGGGTTCGTTGCCTCCGGAGAGGGGGATTTCTACATAATTACAAATACTATTTTGTGATTCCTTACTTTCCTCTTGGTATAATCTACCCCAAAACCCTATTCTAATTACCTACCCCAAAACCCCATCTAATTATCAAGTTAAGGCCCCTACATAGAACCCTTATAGTACCCCTTATAGTATCCCTTTGAAGGAAGCCTTTGAAGGAACCCTATTCTAATTATCAAGGCCCCTAGAAATTGAGCAGGACTCGTTCTAACGGCTCCTAGAGAAGGCCAGGCTCTCGGTTTCCGAAAATCGGGGACCCTACTAGGCACCCTGAAAAATGTAGGATCCTTATTATAAGGGCCCCCAAAACATGTACCCCTTATCTTCGGAAACTCCCATAGGATATCATATGATACGATACGATTGGATGCTATGTTATATTTGTATTATACATCATACTTTACTATGCTATAGATCATGTTGTCTTATGCTAGATTATGCTACATTTGGGCTCAAGAAGTAGCTGCTCAGGGGGTTAGTTCTTGGACGCCAACATCTCAGTTTGTTGGTGGGCAGAAAGACAGCGATTCCTTGTCCTTACAAAAGCCAGCAGCCTGCTACGATAGGGGCCTAAGCATTTCCTATCCTTATTGTAATTATAGTATAATATACCCCCAAAACCTTTTCTGATTCTTAAGGCCTCTACATCACGGCAGGACTGGTGCCTGAACAAGGCCAAGAGTGGAGGCTTCCTCTACAAGAGCGGCTCCGATGAATTAATTCAAAGCTTAGGAAGCTCGGAGCACCATGAGAAAATTGGAGCAGCCTTGACTTCGAAACCATGCACCCGAAGTGCTTGGAGCAGGCCTTGATCCTCGGGACCCGTAGCTCTTAGCGCAAACAATGAACAGCAAGTGACCCTTGAGACCAGCCGGTCTTGGACTGGGCTTGTTGAGCAGGACCAGGAGTGTCTTCAAGGGAACCGAAATTAAAGGCGTCAATCCGCGAATTTAGATGGTTTTCAAGAACGGCTTCCAAACCCACCGCCCCCGCCCCCTTGCCAGAGTCCCACTTAATCTTATGCTATGAGATACCCCACAACCCTACACTACTGCAAGTAGTACGGCCTCTGTACTGGAGTCTAGAGATTAAGCATTGGGCCGTGTAGGGCTGAGCTCCGAAGGTTGCAGGCTCACCGGCTTAGGCGCTTAAGGCGAAAGCCGGTTGCTTGTCGTGCAGCTAGGCAGACCCCAGCCGCGGCGCAGTAAACAACCGGCTTCAGAGTGACTGTCTAACCCCGGAGCCTGAACCCGGAACCCGAATTAGACAGAGCTCGGAATAAGTGGTAATACAACCCGCCTGATAGTACCCATGTTCTCCCCGCGAAAAGCCCATTCGAGTTGTTGAGGCCCCTAGGTCCCCCCCCCCGGGCTCCACTCATCCACTTTTTCAACAACACTTGCCCAAACCACCGCTGGCTTAGGCAAGTGGGGCGTAACTTCCGAAGCCCTTCGGTGGCATTCCGACGTTGTAGCTCCAACTTGATGTCCGTTTGTTGGAGGCTTGTGGCTGGAGGAAAGCAAGGTCCAAAGACATCAACTCAAAACAGCGCATGAATTGCTGTCAAGACGAGCCATCCCATCCCAATAGTCCTGAAGTTGCGGATCCGGCTTTCCAAGTCGCTCCTTCTTTACGACGGAGCTTTCCTTTAGCTGAGGGTAAGTGGATGGAGGACGTAGGGATTGTTGTAATTATGATGCCTTTGCGGGCTCTTTTTGCCTCATTACCAGAAACCGCCAGAACCTACTACAAGATCTAGGGACGTCACCCTTCACATGTAACACCACCCCCCACAGACATGGGATTTCATGCCACTACGTCCACTGCTGGCGCAACCTCGCAGAACATAGTGGTACTTCCAGTGGTATTGTATAAATCGCAAAAACTTGCAAGCCCTAAACTCCTAAACCCTGAACACCCAACACAAATTGTCGCCTGTCGAGCATGACATTTCTCTCTCCAAGTTTGTGCGGGTTTGCTATTGATTGCGTGAGGCAGTGCAACTTTTTGATCAATTCGAAACAGGGCCGATGTCAACCGTTGTTTGTTGCCGACTTAACAAACCCCGCCATGCGGGCTCGTCCTTGCGAAGTAGGAGGCAAGAACTAAGCCACATAGTGTGACCGAGGTAGTCGACTGACACGCAGGATTTCTGTCCGGGCTGATGACTAGTAGGTTTTCTTTTCCTTACTGTGCGATTTGTTGTTGTCTTGTCAGCCCACCTACAGACCTATGCCTCGCGTGAATTGTTCGAGTTTTGAGCGCCGAAACATACCACCCTCGGACCTCACTACAGGAGGCAAAATACTCCAAGACCCTCAGGCCTACTCGTATTCTCAGTCCTCCTAAACCCTAAACCCTAAACTCTAGTCCGAGTTGCGAGAGCGTAAACCCTAAACTTTAAACCCTAAGCCATACATTCCATTCACAGACCCCGGCCTGGGATCGCAATGCGGAGATCCCGGGGTGAATGTGGGCCCGGTGCTAGTCATTGTCATCGTCATCGATTTGGGCTGTTGGTCTTCTTGAGCATCAAGCTACAGTACGTCGTGACTTGGGACAAGCGACTAGTTATCTTGAAGACCTGGCCCTAAACTCTAACCCTAAACCCTAAACCCTAAATCGGGACCTTCTTGCCATGCCAGCCTTGTGCGAGTGTGTGAGTCGAAACCGGACCTAGCCTGTGTTGGGGCCGCTAGCGTGTAGCGTTGCAAACGTCGGCTTGGCCCGCCAATCTGACCCCCCGATGTGGGCAGAATCCCCCTAGGCCTACATCTCTTTGAAGTAGCGTAAACCCTAAACCCTAAACCTTAGCCTGTCAGGCACTGAGCATGGATCCTCTCCTGGCATGTCCGAGGTGTGCGAGCGTAAACCCTAAGCCCTAAAACCCTAAACCCTAAACCCTGAAACCCGAAAACCTGAGCCCTAAAACCCTAAGCCCTAAACCCTAAACCCTAAAACCCTAAACCCTAAACCCTGAGCCCTAAAACCCTAAACCCTAAACTGCAAGGACTGCCTCTCCTTGTCCGCGGATCGGCAGCAGATTTTTCCGACCGCAGCAGGGGGCACGCGAACCGCACTTCAGTGTTACCAGGCCCGGGCTCGGATTTAGGGTTTAGGGTTTAGGGCTTAGGATTTAGGGTTTAGGGTCAGGAGCTTGGCTGAAGGGATTCAGGGCTTAGTGCATTGCAGTCCCTGCTCCAAAAAAGGGTTTAGGGTGACTGGGTTCAAAAAAAGGGTTTAGGGATTAGGGATGAGGTTCGGGGGGTGCTAGGAAGGGACCGGTCTGTGGTTTTGGGATTCGTGGTTTTGTGTTTAGGACCAGTGTTGTTGGTAGGGATGTAAGTGAGGTTAGGAATTCTAGGATCTTAGAGTTGATGTACTTTGGAGGTGATGAATGATTACGGCTGGGCATGCTATCGGTCTGTGTGGTGGACGGTTTGCGAGGTTAGCAGCAGCCCTCCATGCCTTGCGAATCCCGTACGCTGCGACGAGATCAGATGATGGGATCCTCTTGCTTATTGCCCTGTTGGAGCGCGCGGGCTTAACCGAGGTTTCTTCAACGGGATTCGCGCTGCAGCCTACATATTCCCTAGTGAAGCTGGGAAAAAAGAAATGAAATCAAATGAAATCCCTGTGACAGGACTTCATGGCCGCGTTTCTCAAAGCCATGGGCAACCATGTTGGGTCCACCATCTGTGAGCTTCAGGCGGACGGGGGCTCCAACAGAACCTTTCAAGAATGGGTTCTGGAATCCTACAAGGTTTCACCTAAGAGTTCTAAGACGGTACTATACGTAACAATTACGTAATAAGTAATAAGGGTTCTAGAACCCTAAACCCTAAACCCTAAACCCTAAATTCTAAGCCCTAAACATCCCTAAACCCTCAGGGCCCCCGAAGCTGCGCAAAGCACTGGGCACCTTGAGTCCTTCCAGGATCTCCTCGCTCAGATCTGAAGCCTCGACATGAAGTGTACTGGCTAAGATGGGGGGGCCTTCGTCACTGTAATCAGGGTTTAGGGTTTAGGGTTTAGGGGTGTTAGGGGTGTATTTAAGTTAAAGTATAGCTGCAAGAAGACAGCCCGAAGGAAGACTATTGCAAGTTTTTCAGAAGTCAGGCTGTCGTATTTATCACATGTAAGTCGGGACCCGGACGGCTATACTTGCCTTCGATCAACAACGAATGCTAGCTATAGCCTCTTACGATCTATCATGCATCCATATGAAAGTTGTTGTCGAAGGAGCCTGAACCATCACAAATAGAGTTGGCTCACAATGTGCTCCATATCATTGCAGTATACAGGGCCCAAAAGCCGTGTAGTCGAATAGCCGACTGGCCCCAATCCCACTCTTAGTGTCTTCTTGAGTGTTCCCTGTGTGAACGGGTCAGCCAAGCGGTTGGCAAAATCCCACAGCATAAACTGGAAGACAGGTTGGTATGGGCCCTTGCGGCGAGCTGCGCTACCCATCCTACCTGATGCCGGGCCCCCGAAACGTCTTATAAAGGTTCTAGCGGGGGTGCGAGAAGGGTTTAGGGCCTAGGGTTTTGGGCACCTTTGCGGTACTGTGAAGGCTCAGGGTTTGTACGGTAGAAGGCGACATGTACCCTTGTAGCAAGCATACTGCTTGAGGTTCTTCTGGGGTTGTGGCTTGAACAAGAAAGCGCCCATGACCATGCAGAGCCGGCAGGAATGAGTGGGGCGTCAAGCCCTAATCCGAAACAAAACGTTGTCTAGAGTTCCGACCTTCTGCGAGACCCATTCAATCAGCATGAAATCGAAACAGTGAAGCTTAGAAGCTCTAGCCTGTAGATTCTGTCGACTTGAAAGCCCAAGTGCTACAGACACACAAGCGTATCAGCCCCACGACTTGCTGGAGGTCCGAGTCTCCAGATCTTGAGTAGAGCAAAAGAAGCAGTTCGGCACAGACGCTGCCTAGAGTTTTGCCGGTCGCGCCCGGGAATGTTGCGCTTCGGGATTTTGGGTTAGGAGCAAGGAGCCCCAAGAGAAAAGCGAGTTTGGAGCTTCTTGTTGAGATTCGAGTGTTGGGCTTGGCGCGCTTTGTGAGCTCATGCTGTGATGCTTCTCCTTTGTCTAGCATGGCCGATGGGCACTGCTGGACGCTCTGCTTTGGAGTGAAGGGTACACTGCATATTTGCAAAGCCTCAATCAAGTCTTGTTTATTGCGAGAACTTTTCGTCCGAGGTCGAACGGCTGGAACTGGCCAGGTGTGGGTATTGCCATGACCTACGACAAGGGCATGCTGCAGATGCTCAAGGAACAGAGCCTGTTGTGAAAACCCGATGTGAGTGGCCAAGGTACTCAGTGGCACATGCCTTTTATACACTAGAATGTCAGAATGTCCTTGCCAGGTCGGGTGTAAGCGTGCTTGGCATATTGATTTTAGTCCTTAGCCAGATGCTTCTCAAGTTTGTCACAACTGGGGGGCCAAGACGATCGGTCTCTTATCTTTTCTGTTGTTGTATGTTTGGTTCTCGCTTTCGTTGAACATCTCCGTACCTATCTCCATCTCTACAAAGTACCGTTCTCTGCAGATCGGCGTGCATTTGCATCCTGGCGGATCCGTGACGACACGTGAATGTATATAAGTATGTCAATATGTAAGTATGGAAGTATATACCTGTATAAGTATGTATTTAATCAAACAACTAGTTGGGTGAGTGAGTAAGCAGGTAAGCAGGCAGTATATATATATATATATGCGTGCGTGTAGGTAAGTAAGTAAGCAGTATGTATGTACTGTATGTACTGTATGTATGTATGTATGTATGTATGTATGTATGTATGTATGTATGTATGTGGCTGTCTGGCATTGTCCAACTAGCTGCCCATGCATGCACAAGTTTCTTTCCGGTGCTCGCCTGCGCCTACTGACCTGGGCATTCCATTTGCATGTCTCTGCAGTCTCTGCATATGCAGTGGCACCTGATTCCAAGCGTTTCCGTACCGCTTGAAGCGCCTTCGAAAGTCTCAAGCAGTCTCCTTGCTGTCCATTACCTTCCGTTTCTTGCAGCCATGCGTGAGCTCGTGCACGTTCAGGGTGGGCAGTGCGGGAACCAAATTGGTGCCAAGTTCTGGGAGGTGATCGCCGATGAGCACGGAATCGATCCCACGGGAACCTACCATGGGGATTCCGACCTCCAGCTGGAACGCATCAATGTGTACTTCAATGAGGCAACGGGGGGACGATACGTTCCGCGCGCGGTCCTGATGGATCTGGAGCCCGGAACCATGGACTCCGTCCGAGCCGGGCCTTTTGGTCAGCTTTTCCGCCCCGACAATTTCGTCTTTGGACAGACACTAGGCTTTTCAGTGGTACACCGTTGTCCTTTTTATTTCAGGGTTTGCTTAGGATCAGGGTACCTTTATCATGCTAACGTCCATTGGAGAACCTAGGACAGGAGCCGGTAACAACTGGGCCAAGGGTCACTACACAGAGGGAGCAGAACTCATCGACTCGGTGCTTGACGTTGTGCGCAAGGAAGCCGAAGGTTGCGACTGCCTCCAGGGTTTCCAGCTCTGTCATTCGCTCGGCGGCGGCACCGGAGCCGGCATGGGAACGTTGCTTATCTCCAAGGTGCGAGAGGAGTACCCGGACCGCATCATGGAGACCTTCTCGGTGATCCCGTCGCCCAAGGTCTCCGACACAGTGGTTGAGCCGTACAATGCCGTCCTCAGCTTTCACCAGCTCGTGGAGAACTCCGATGAGTCTTTCCTGCTGGACAATGAGGCACTTTACGACATTTGCTTCCGAACGCTGAAGCTGACGACACCAACGTACGGAGACCTGAACCACCTGGTCTCTGCGGCGATGAGCGGTGTGACCTGCTGCCTGCGCTTCCCGGGCCAGTTGAACTGTGACCTGCGCAAGATCGCCGTCAACCTTGTGCCTTTCCCACGCTTGCACTTCTTCATGACGGGCTTCGCACCGCTGACCTCCCGCGGGTCGCAGCAATACCGGGCCCTGACCGTCCCCGAGCTGACGCAACAGATGTCTCGAGGATCCTGTTGAGTACATCTTATCTTTGCCCCTACGAAGGTATCCACTGTAAAGTCTACCAACACTACACATCGTTAAGCCCCCAGAAGAGCTAGGTTCGACGCCAAAAACATGATGTGTGCTGCGGACCCCCGCCACGGCCGCTACCTCACCGCGGCAGCCCTCTTCCGTGGCCGCATGTCCACGAAGGAGGTGGATGAGCAAATGCTTAACGTCCAAAACAAAAACTCCTCCTACTTCGTGGAGTGGATCCCCAACAACATCAAGGCGTCCGTCTGCGACATCCCCCCAAAAGGTCTCAAGATGGCTGTCTCCTTTGCGGGAAACTCGACCGCCATCCAGGAGATGTTCAAGAGGGTGGCCGAGTACTTCACGGCCATGTTCCGACGCAAGGCCTTCTTGCACTGGTACACCGGCGAAGGCATGGATGAGATGGAGTTCACTGAGGCGGAGTCGAACATGAACGACTTGGTGTCGGAGTATCAGCAGTACCAGGATGCCACCGCCGAGGAGGAAGGCGAGTTTGACGAAGAGGAGGGCGAGTATGATGGATAAGCGCGACGTGTCGCCGACCCATGCTCGTTCCACCAGAGTGTTCAGACCGATGATGACCTTGGCTGTGCCAGCTACTGCGGTAGGGAGCAGCCGGGGTAATTCATTTCTGGCATGCTTTCAGGAAAACCCTGAATGCAGGTCGAGCATGAGGTCGCAGCAAGTTTCGCAGTTTGCGGGGCCAGACAGGTAGAAAACGCACACCCGCCTTTCTCACAAGGTTTTGCCCTGAAGCACACGGTGCCAAGCACGCATGCAAGCAAGCAAGCAAGCCAGCAACCAGATATGCTCACAATGCCATCGACTTCAGAGTCATCCTCGAAACCACGCCAGGGCACTGCATGCGTTATGCCGGAAACGAGATCCTGAACGCCCAACCCTCCACGTTCGTCGACCCGACCCCCGAAGAAGCAGCGAGGATGACGCCGGGATGACAGAGCCTCCGAAGTCTTTGCCGGAGGACCAGAACGCCATGCCGCGGTGCTCAGAGATGATCAGAGTCTCAGAGCCCTGTGGAGGTTTTTGAAGATGTTCTTTTCGAGGCTTTCTGGCACTGCGGCCCTCTTTAGCAAAGGGATGTTGTGTTTGGGTTGGTCGCTGTTCTTGATCGTAGCCTATCCCTCCGTGGCGCAGGGGTCTCTGGCCGAGGTGGTTGTGCCGGTAGGTAGAGAAGGCCCTTGTTCCGGATGGTCAGGTTGCTCCTTGTCCTTATAGATCCCAGGTCCTAGCGAAAGGGGCCAGGTCTGCCCCCTCCCTGGTGTAGATTGCTTATGATTGCTTGTCTGGGGACCCTGGATTCGCGCTCGGTCTACTCTATAGCAGTGACGGTCGCCGCCGTTTCTTTGACCGTAGCATGGGACCCGATATTGATTAGCAGCCAACAGTCTAGAGGGTCTTCTCATTGGCTCCCGTGTCATCCTCACCGAGGACTCACAAAGACAAGATGAGTTCCCTGAATTCTGCAGCGTCAGGGTTTCGGAAGATCGGCCGAGGGCTTCTTCAGAGTCGAAGGCCTCAGAGGAGCACCAGACATCGGCACCCCCAAGCCGCAACTAAAATCTCGGGCCTTTTAAAGTTCCGAGGCCGGACGACATCCCTATCTTCAAATTGCCTGGCATGGAATTCCGAAGCGGCGCCCCGAAGGACCCCGTGTTGGTTTGAGCTGTCTCGGGTCTCGATATAAGACATTTGCAGCTCGCGCAGATAGAAAGAGTATGTTCCTCATAGCCAAGGCCCTCGACTTGCCACGCCCACCCAAGCTGAGGGAGTCGAAACAGCATATTGGTAACACGTGCTAATGCGGCGGGCTGTCACGACGCCGCACCGACCATGTGTAGGTTGCTTGTTACTCGTGCAGCATGCTGCTCGATGGGTTTGCTTTGTGTGACATGCTGGAGTACATCTCGACGAATAGTTTCTCGCCTGCGGGCTTGGGGAAGTCCAATGCCTCAAGCACGAGATCCTACGCTCTGAGCCATAGGTAAAGGGGAGCAACATTCGCATCCACAAGTCCGAAGCAGTATTGTCCATTCTGAGCTCTGAAACCCTGCCCTGAACCCAAAGACTCCCGAAACCTCTATAAATGCCCCAAACTACTGTTGCCATTAGGATTATCCATCGCGACCGCATGAGGGGGAAGTTAAGGGCCCCCCGCTGCACCTGTGGGGCGAGGCTAGAGGGGCAAGTGGAGAAATAGGAGTGGGGCGATTGAGGGTGGGGGCGAGAGTGGGGCAAATGGCGCAAGTGGGCGCGTGGTGGCAAGTGGGGAAGCCCTTGCATCCCCCCATCTCCGACACTCTCAACATATCATTAAGTTTTATATGCATCTTGATACACTGCTCTCAGCTGGGGTCTTGATCTAGCGCGTTGACCAGGCTTTCCTCGAGTGGTACTCTTCGGTGCTCATTCGTCACGGCCGGCTGGGGCTTGACCTGTGTTCATTCAAAACTGCTTTCGGCTGTATGATTTCCAGGTTCTTGCATCGGGGTAATTAAATTAAAAAGGTGCAGTTCTTTCCGGTCCATGAATGGTCTCGTTAAATCTGCTGCGATGAAGCCACACCTTGCACTGTCTGCAATGTGGGCTTGTCCCAGCGAGGTGCGAGGCAACACAAGCCCTAAGAAGGACTTGGTCGTCTTGCCCACGTGCCAAGAAGCGACAGTGCCGACGACAGGCAGAGACGTGCTCTCCGAGGCGAAGAAGGCCATCGATCGAGTGGGCGTCAACGCCTCGGTGGAGGGGTTCCTGGGAGGGTGCAAAGCTTAAAGTTTAGGGCTTCAAGGGTCATGGATCCCAGTTTTTCAACCGTCAGCAGTGAGGCGGCTTGTTTTGGTGTCTTGGACGTGGCTGCAAGCCCGGCATTTGCAGTCGTCGCCATGTGCCCGTGTCATTGGCCAGGCTTATCGTGTCTCTATAGTTTAGGGTTTAGAAGTGGAAAGCCCGTTGCAAAAGGTGTAATACTGTCCTCATGTAGAACACTAAACCTTAAGCCCTAGTCATGGGAAGCTTTACTGTGTCACGCCGACCTGGCACCTGATAGACCTCGCCTGGCTTGTCCGAGTTGCGAGAGCGTAAACTTTAAACCAGTTTGCAAGAGTTCGTCGACACCTTCATCTTTATGGAGCTCGAATGTAAACCCCAAACGGGAAGCAGCGGGCAACTTCGAAGCCTTGTGCCGTGCCGCAAGATGCCCCAAGCATCTACAAACCCTTTGGAGTCCAAGCACCCTCCGAGGTACCAGCTCCAAAGCCTATGTTTCCCACCCGATTTTCAGTCCTGTGCTGAGACCGTTTAAGCCCCAAGACTCCTGAACCCTCAAGCTTTGGCCCTGGGACATCGTCTGAGTCCTACCCTGCGAACAAGTTCTGCTTGTCGGTGAAAGTCTCGGGCCTCCATTGGCACGTCCCCGTCTCAGGATGGTAGGCTTTGTTCATATGCCAGCAGCCACCACATATCCATCTATCAGAATCTATCATCTACTTATCGGTCTGCTGACAGATACTGGCATGTAGCTAATCTAGTTCTTCAAAACTCACTACGAGAATACAGCTTTGGTAGGGAGAGAGATGCTACACGGCTATGCGTGTAACTTTTTTATAGAGTACAACCAGCCGCATGCAGAGAGGCAGCAAACGATGCATGGGCGGGGTGTTTGTGACCGACCCCTTAAGCCCGACAGAAAGAAAGATACTCTTATAATATATATATATATATATATCTATATGTATACCTATATATACATAGAGATGTGTGTGTGTGTGTGTGCTTGAGTCAGCGGCATGAGATGTGTGTATGTATACATATACATCCCTATATGTATTCCATCATGTGACATAATCTCGTATAATTTATAATAACATATCATGTCGTCGCGTATTGTGTTCTAGTGTATTTGCTTGTATGTGTGTATGTATGAATGTGACACACACACATACATACATACACACATACATGCCCGGTAATAAAGTTTCGTCGCATCCGCTTAGAAACACTAAGCGGAGTACGCGGAGTACAGNNTAGCGGAGGAATTATCACACCCGAATGAAATTTTACTATTATAATTGTTCAGGGCGGAGGACTTCTGGAGGAGTCTAGGGGGGAAGGGGGGTGTGGATAGGTTCGTTGTAAATGAACAACATAGAGTGCGACGAACTTTCGGACCGGCGCAGTATATATATATATATATACATACACAAACGCATACATGTACATGCATGCATACGTTGATTGGGTTGTAGGTTAGCTCGCTTTACTTGGAGATTCTCGAAATAGACGGCAACGAAGTCCAATAGCTCGTGGACCATGAGTACCCAAGCATTGCAATTCGCCCCCGGCCCTTTTCATCCGGAGCCCTAGGCAAGGTACACAAATCATCACAGATCCAAGTCGCAGGCATAGAGAAACGGAAATGTCTTGCGGGAAGCCAAAAAATTTGGATGGCGATCTGAGTTGAGCAGTCTTTTCTTTCAGATGGGTCCTTCTTCCGACCAGCTGGACAGCAAATTCGTGAGAGCCGAAGTGTTGTAACCCCCGCCAGTTTGGTCGTCCCAGCAAGCAAAGGTAGAGAAAGCAGGAGTTGAATCCATCAACATTGTGTAGTCCAGACTCCAGGTGACGCATCCTTCCCGCGCGACTGAGGTGCTACAGGGCAGGGTGTTCAAGGGAATAGCATGGGGTTCGAGTTGCGTTGGGCATGGAGCTCAAAATGCTGCATCTAGCCAATCCTCCTCCTCCACTGCTGCTGGGGGTCCCCGAACTCCCCGGTTCCGTTTCCGGTTCCCGCATCTGGCCTCACAAGGCTGCACCGAAACAAGGTTCTGTCGGAAACCCTAAACCCTAAACCTTAAACTCTTACCCTGCAATGCGGGCTCGTCCTTGCTAAGTAGGAGGCAAAAAAACCCTAAACCCTAAACCCTAAAATGGTTGAGCAGCAGGTCAAAGTCAGGATTTGGACCACGAGCCCAGCACCCTCCGGTAAAGCCAGCTTTGCTGCGGCGGCGGCAGATATGGCCCCGCCAAGTACTGTCGACACGAACTACTACTATTGCTACTCAATACGGTCATTTCAGCCATTTCTTGATAGAGGGTTTTTGTGCATGGATCTTGCTGAGCAAGCGCCAGGCCTGCGCCGGCTACAACTGCTGCACGAGTGAAGCCGTCCGGGCCTTTGGCCTGCGCTGCTGTGGACGTCATGTGAGAGCCAGGGGGGCAGCTTCAATGGTGAGTCGCAATCTTTCGGCACTTCGTGGCGATAGGACACACTACCCGAAGAACGAGACACGACTGACATAAGCAAAAGCCTTCCCTATTGGTAATTGGTAAAAACAGCAGTTCACGACCAGAATTTCCGTTCTTACATGTTGCCTTGTAGCACTCGGAGACGGGTACTACCGAGCAAGCGAACTCATGTTCGTGGCCTGGAATCTCTGGAAGTTGGACCGCTGCATGTCAGCCAAACCTCGCCCTGTAGCCATGTGCTTCTAACATGGTGCAAGGCCCAGGCCCAGTAGAGGTTGACGATAGACTTGTTTTCCGCCGGAAGCGGCTGCGCAAAAGATAGTGCCGCCAAAAAATGTCGCCGCCAAATAATAGGACTGCCCGAACCCTGAGCCCCTGGAACGTTCCCGTTGGGGCGAGGCCGATGCCTACATGGCGATCGCGAAGATGCTCGCCGAGTCGTCCAAGGAAGCGAAGAGGTCACTTGGCACCGACTGGGGGTCGGAGCGGCGGTACTTCTTAAGTCTTAAGTCATATTTGTCTGCTCTTCGGGGGTAAGGTTTGCGCATCGAGTGAGCTGTGAACTTCATCATTATTGTCAGGTTGTTACAAAAGCCCGCGGTTCGGAAACTGAGAGAGGCTCTCTTCCGCTGTGGCAGGCCTATCTTGTTCAATTTCACCTGCATGGAGATGACAAACGACTCCAACGGCCCCTTGTCCCTGTGAACATTTGGGGTCATGCTGGCCGTCTTTTTTTTCGGGTGGTTTTGGCTTTGGGTCAGCCTCTGTCATGCCCCAAAGACCCCCTCTGAGCTTCGAGGTGGTGTGCCGAAGGCTCTCTCTGCGCCAGAGGCGTCGGAACATCGGGTTTATGTATTGAGCTTTGAGGCATCGTTTGTGTCATCTTGGGGAGTTGGTCTGGCCTCTTGGTGCTTGGTGTCTGTTCTGATCTTGGGGAGTCCCCCTTGCTTGTTTTGCTGTCAACACGAACCAGACTCCTCTAACTATGCCCCGATCAGTTGTCCCAACCTTGCAGATAGCCAACTTACCCGAAGCCACTCCTCCTTGCAGGACCTCATCGCGCAAGTGCGCAAAGCATGTATTTTCCACCAGGTGCCCCTGGCAGGTGGGCCGCGTAGCATTGGACCGGACCTGTTTGCGATTGTAGTTCTGGTGGCCTGTACGTGCAGATATGTAGAACTGGAAACCGTGCACATAAGCTCAGGCATCCAGCCTTGCTTCTACAAGCTTGGCCATAGAATCTGGAGCCAGCGACTTGTAAACTAATCCTAAACCCGGAAGCCTGTCGCTGCAACATAAGCACCTTGGTCCAGAAAGCAAGTTTCAGTCCATGTTTCCTACCATGCTGAGTCACCAGGTCGCACACAAACCGTCAACCTCGTTCAACAAGTAAGCTTCACATCCTGGTCCTGATGATGGCCCATTCCCCGAAGGTGAGAATGCCTTGGAGTTTGACATCGCTACCGGTGACTGGGCCTTCAAGCAGATGGAGAAGCAAATTCGAAGTTTCTCTCCAGGCCGGTGCCCACCACTTCCCGAGCACCCCACTATCAATGTTGTGGAAGAGATTTCTGGAACTGGCTCGCTGCACCCCAGACCCCCGAAAATTTTAAAGCAAACAAGCTAAACCGCTAAGCCCTATACCCTAAACCCTAAAACTTCAGGCTGACCTAGCAGGAGGTCGGGCTCTGAAATACAGGCGCTATCCCCCCACGTCACCGAAGGGTTATCCAAGCCTTGGGCTTTTGGATGCTTTCTGGCGGGTTGTAGAGCTCAGGGGATGCACTACATGGAGCCCAGCCGAGTACCGTGAGAGCCCCTTGTAAAACTTTGTGGAAGAGGAGTAAAGGACCCTGAAGCTTTCCGAAGTGTTGCTAGGACCCTTAAACCATCGTGGCTGATCTTCTTGCAAGTATTCCCCATAGTCTAGGTGGAAGGAAAGTTCGCCAAGTCTCCTTGCAGAGTTAGGCCCAGAGTCTAAGCAAGTAGTCCATGCAGGCTGGACTCATCCGACGTGTCGGGTTGAAGGGGTAAACATTCCAGCTCTTCTACTCAAGTGCATGCCAGGGGTAGATGCGATGCACGGCCTCACGCTTCTGCGGCTGTCGGACAACTTTGTAAGGCTGGGCACAGTGTCTTCCTTCAGTGTAGGGGGAGGTCCTTCGCGTTTGTGGTCGGGAGTTTCGTTTCCGAAGAGGCCCTTCCGAACGAGTTGGAAGATCCCGGGGGCTTGCGCAGGGGGTTGGGAAGACAGCGCCAAAGCTGCCAGAAGACGTGGCCTTTTGCCTCAAAACCTGAAGGGCTTCCGCCTTCCTCTCTTTGCCTGGCCATGGGCCCTGGCATAGAGGAGGAGGTTTATTATATATAATTACATGTACTATTTTGGGGCTTCTTTATTATAGTTATATAGTACACTATAACCCAAAACCCTTACATGTACGATTTTGGGGCTTCTTTAATATAGTTATATAGTACACTATAACCCAAAACCCTAGTCTAATTATTGAGGCCCCTCCATTTATTCCTTAAACCCTGAACCCTAGACCCTAAACCCTAAACCCTTGAGTTCTTGAGTTCTTGGCAGGCCCGATAGCCTGCAGCAGCTGGGGCTCTTCGTTTCCAAGATCTGAAAAGTGTGAGGCGCACCAGGGGTTTAGGGTTTAGGGTTTAGGGTGGTCCTGAAATCCTCCAACACCCGCCCTGAACTCCAGCCCCTTAGGGAGACACTTTCGTCGACCCCTGTTGCAGCCCCGGGCCACAGCCCAAAACAGATGTTAGTTTAGTTAGCTTTGAGGTCTTTATTCCTGAGCCCTGCGTCCTGCGTAGTTTAGGAAGGATCGATGGCATGGGCAATTTTCCACATCAAGCCCGGCACATGTTTCTGTGCGGAGTGGACGAACGGCAGGCACCAAGCCTATGGCAAAGTCCCGCATCCCAGCTGTGAAACCCTTATGGACGACACTGTTTGAACTTGCATAAAGAGGGCTCCAGCAGGGTTAGACTACGCCGGTGGTAGGAAAGTCAAGATGTCATGTGCTCCCCAATCTTTATTAGTCGAGCATTGAAGGCCTACTCACATCCGGGTCCGTCCCAGCCAGACTAAGTGACTAAACCTTGGACCCTGAACCATAAACCCTGAAATCCCAACCCTAAACTCTAAACCCTTGGACCTTAAACCACAAACCCTGAAATCCAAAAAGACCCAAAGCGCAAGAGACTTTGTCGGCTGCCTCCTCCATTCTGGCCTGGGTGGGGATGTCACCAGGGTGCAAAAAACAGAAGACGCAGTACATCAAGTGGGCAGTTCTCTAAAATTAGGTCCCCAAAATGGAACGGCACCTTATAAAAAGGACCCTAAAAGGGACCCTGATTTGGAAAACTGCCCAAGTATTTCGGGAAAGCTAAGCTCGAAACCGAAGCAGAAACTCATGTAGGGGGTTTCGGTTTAGGGTGTAATTAGTGTTTGGGGTTTAGGGTTCAGGGTCAAGTGCTTCGGAGAGTTGATGTAATCTGTCAGCTGTAGTGCGTATATCGAAGAAAAGACCCGAATCCCGAAACCCTAAAGTGAAGACCGAATTATGCGGAGCCTTGCCGGCCTTGTGCGAGCGTGAGAGTCGAAACCCGTAGCCTTAACCCTGTATTATCACGCCGACTCAGACCTATTGAACCCTGCCTGGCTCGTCCGAGTTTCGAAAATCCCTAAGATGTTTCGAAGACCATTCCAACCACTTCGGTCTTTGTCTCGGGTCAGGGTCTTTATGCAGGGTTTAAGGTTTGGGGTGTAGGGGTCTCAATATGGCCAGACGTGGTACAAAGGGGTCTCAATATACCGTAAGATACGGCTTTTGTAAGTTAGGGTGGGAAGCTCCATCCCTAAGAGGGCCCTGTGCAAACTCTCGTTCGGGCGCCCCTCGATTCATCTCCGTACCCAGGCCCATCGTTTTGAATGTATTCTTGCAAGGCCCAAGACTCAGAGCTTGCATAGCAGAAGAAGGCTGGCGCTCAAGAACTTCTCGCAAAGTTGAGGTGTCCTGCGAGTGGCTCTTACTTCAGTACTGATCACAACATGGACCATGGTTAGGACGACGATTTGCATCACTGCCACATCTCCCGCTCCATTGTGTTTCTTGCGAGCCGGAGTGACAACATTAGGCCCTTGTCATGATATTACTCTGCTGGTGCTGTCAAGTCTGAGCGCCAACCTCGTCGTGCGACCTGCGCCAAGTTGCGAAATGAGGAGCTCAGGGGCCTACCTGGCTTCGCGATTCCGTCTTCTGAACCTTCTGGGCCTCTACATGTCTTCTGGGCTACAGCTTATGGGTTGAGGGGGGGCATGGGTGAACCCGCTGAAACGTCGGGTGTAGGTTTTGGAGTTCGAATTTGGGCAGTAGGAGAGATGCAATCCGTCTCAGGTTTGTGGGCTTTCGAAAACTCACGAATGTTTGAAGACTGCGGGTCTATCCAGACTGACCGGAATCCTGCGACTTCATTCCAAACTGGAGGTCAACGATAGCTCGAGCTGTCAGAGACACAGTTAAAAGGGCCTTGAAGTCTTCGGTGGGTCCACCACTCCCAGAAGCCTCCGAACCAACGTGATTCCCCAGCATCCTACAGGTCCCGAGGTTGCCATGCCTCAATCAGTCTGAGCCTGGCTGCGTTTAGTTTCGGCCTGGGCCCTGGCTTAAGGAAGCTTGTTGCAGCCCCCAGCTCTCCCCACAAGCTCCCTACAAATCCCAAGAAAAGAAGCATGGGTCTGTCTACATCGAGCCAAGTCGACTACGGGTTTGGGGCTCTTCCCAAATGCCAGGGCTGTCGAAGGGCTAAGGAGTCCGACGCTGAGAGCATGTAGCGGACATTGCTCAAAAGAACTTGGTGTGCCAGCCTGGTCCCGAGATCGGCTACATGGTAAGGCAATATCAATAGCTGTCGTCGTCGCTTGTGTAGCTCCAGCGACAGGAGCCATGCTGGCAGTCATCGTCGTCGACGGCGCTGTATTAGTACTACTATGGTAGTGGTAGTTGTAGCCGTAGTCGTCGCCGTAGTCGTAGTCGTAGTCGTAGTGGTTGTCGTAATGGTTGTGGTCGTCGTCGTCGTCGTCGTCGTCGTCGTCGTCGTCGTCGTCGTCGTCGTAGTGTTGTCGTAACAGCAGCAGCAGCAGCAGTATTGCTGGTGGTAGTAGCAGCAGCAGCAGTAGCAGTAGTAGCAGTGGTAGTGTTAGTGTTAGTGGTTGTGGTTGTGGTAGTGGTAGTAGTAGTAGAAGAAGAAGAAGGTGGTAGTCATCGTAGCCGTAGTAGTCTACTAGTAGTTTGTAGTCGTAGTAGTTGTTATGGTCGTTGTAGTAGTGGTAATAGTCGTAGCAGTCGTAGCAGCAGCAGTAGTAGCAGCAGGAGCAGCAGCAGTAACCACAGCCGTACACAGTCATAGTCGTTGTCGTCGTACTAACGGTCGTCGTTTGATCCCTGGCTATGCCAGAATCGCTTAGACCTCGCTTGTGGCTTGTCTTCCCAATGCTGGCAAGACTTGACTAGCCTTGGGAAGAAGGCTGTAATTAATTTTGACGGTCGGGGACTGCCTCAGAATCCCACCTGCCTCATCCTTACAGGCTCTGGTTGAGTGCCGAATGAGCCGCAGCTTCTGTTGCACAGCTCCTAGCGCGGACACGTGACAAGACAACCCAAAGCACGACCACGGCAGTCAAGAGGGGTTTCGCTGCATTCAGCACTACCCACTTCTAGTCACATCGGCTCATCGCGCTTCATCGAAAGGTTCGGGCCCAGGTACTTTATCAGATTATATCGGAGACTTCATCGATGCAGCTGTACAAACCCAGACGAACTTCGATTGCTTCACGTCCGGTATGGGCCTAAACTAGCCCCAAAGACCCAACAAGAAAACTCAGCCCTGCATCGTTGACCCACCTTCCTTTGTCCCACAACTTCGCGGTGATGTTGACGGACTGTGAGCCAGGCACCCTCTGTGTGAATGAGAGTGCAGGGCTCTACAGCAAGCAGGTTCAGTCTTTCGACTTGTCCTGGAGGGTCCTGAGAGGGAGTTCGGTGACCCAGGACTACGTAAACGGATAACTAACCTAACAAGGCAAGTACTGGGTGCTAGGGAAGCCCGCTAGGACTTCAGAATTCACTCTTTGCGTTTACGCAGTTTGGAGCGAAGGGCAAAGCCGAGGTTAGGAGCAATTTCCTTTGGGAGCAGCATAGTAGGACAGCAAAGTTTTTTGTCAATCAGGAAACCCGGCAAGAGGCCGTAGGCCGTAATGTGTAAGAGCGAGCCCCCGCAGACTCGACGCTTGTCCGTGGTGTTTATTGGGGAGTAAGAGGCGCTTCAGCTGAAGTAAACCCCAAAAGTCCAAGCTCTATGTGAGGTAGCTTCCTTATGGGAGGAAAGTATCACTATTTGCGCATGCCTCTCCCGCTCTCCATGACGTATAGGCGTACAGGTCTCTTGCAGGAGATGCGCACGCGTGTAGACTCAGGCACTGGTATGCATAGATGGACGCACCGGTTCATAGGCGTATATAATTAGGATACGAGCGAATGTCGAATGTCATGTGAAAGCATTCTTCATCGGGGTATGCACAGTGCAGCATTCCAAGTTGTCACAACGGCGTAGTGAGACACGTGCACAGAAACGAACAAGGTCACAGACACAGAGAGGTATTTTTACATCTATATAGATAGACATGCATACGTAGGTAAGAACAGCTGCGAGCTTTTGCATTGTTCTACATGCGCACAAGACATTCGCAAATGCCGGTGCCTTGACGACAAGTGCAGGCTATGCGCGGCGCGCGACAATCTCCTCCATAGAGACCTTGGAGTGCGAGCCATGCGAGCCCGGGTCACTCTGCTCGATACTGTTTGGTTACTGGAGAGGTGGCAAAGAGATGTTCGGAGCCCTTGTTCCGACGAACGCCTTTGGGACTATGCACTTCTCCCAATCCCGGAGCAGCACTTACTTATTCTAGACTTGTATGTCCTGTGTGTTAGTTGCTTCATAGTAACTGACAGATAAGTTCTTTCTCAGATATTTTTGCAAGGGTTGAAGTTTCGAACTCTGGAGATTTCGATCGTTGGCTTTATCATTCTGATTTTGGTCTGGTTGCAAGGGATCTCGCCCTTAACTCCAAAGTCCAGACTCTCCCCCCATCCACACCCACGCCGTGTCATGACCATCCAAGGACTTATGCGCCCATCATAGGCATGCCCGCCTGCTTGAAGTGCCATCCTGGCAGTTTCCAAGACCAACCAGGAAGCTCGGATGCTACATGTTGCCGTGTCATCGTCGTTTGGTCGGCTGTTGTGTTGTGCGACCTAGTTTATGCCGGGCGACTGCTGCTACTGCTACTGCTA